AATCGAGAGCAAACGTTAAATAAGATACGATGACTTTATTCTACACATACATATAACTTGTACAACTTTTTTCTTGCAACTACGTCAAATCGGTGATCGACACGTGCCATGTTCCGTTGAAGAACACCACACTTATGGACCACAGTCTTGGCGCGCATATAAGTGGTTTCGCCGCAAAGAACCTCCAAAAATTGGGTTACGGCAAAATTCCGCTTCTCATCGGTACCGATCCCGCGGCTCCCCTATTCGGTTTAACGCACGTGGCGCGAATTCGATTTGTCAAACGCGTCGGGAGATTGTAACACGAATTGACTGTCGCGAATGTTTTACAGAAACACTCGTGTGTCACCGCTGTAAAGAAGACCGTTGTGCATATACGACGGAAACGCGCGGAGTATTTGTGACTCTGTATCATATGACGCGAAAGACAAAGCATGCCGTTTGTATTGTCGTGTGTTTATGCACGCATTCAATGTTATTGCCAATTGGATGTGACGTAAAAATTTGTACCGGGACAAATGATTGCGGCAAACTCGTTGTTCGAATTAACGTTATCACTATTGAAATATGGGTATGAATTTGTATCAAGGGAAGAACGGGACATCGAATAACTGGTTAACAATTCGCTGCGGAGCTGCTGGTAGAACGGCAGCGGTTGATCGCAATCGACGCTTGACCCTATCAGTACTGTCGAAGAGATCGCGTCGTGCTGCTTACCTGGATCAGTTGGCGCGCATTCCTCGACGTTCGGTCTCGCTGCGTGATTACTACCAATTGAAAAATACAAAATTATCAAAATACGAGCGTATTCACGAGAAACGATACGTGTTTGCAATGCCAAAAAAACTGACAAATAATCATTTTTGGTCACACAAAACATATATGTACAATATTAAACACGATGCAGAAATACAACATTACCTCGTTTGAATGCCTAATTCAGTCAGTTGCACATCTGAGTCCAACATGGATAAAATATAGATCTCGGCGATTGACAAATCAATATCCCCTTGGGCAAACGGTTCGAATGGCGTGTCACATTTGACCTCACTCTTTACGTAGGTTTCCCAACGACGAGAGGAATCGCTGAAAACGATAATTAATGCAAGTCGATGACATTGTTTGATCGAACGGTCGTTATAATTGTATCACTAGAAAAAAACCATACCGTTTTAATGGTCTTATATTTATATCGCCGTCTTTCAGAGTTGCGCATTTCGAAAGTTGATCCCTTAGTTTTGTCCGTTTTTCGTCACTGGCCACTTGTTCGCATTTTCGATTAACGGTCTTGATGAACCATGTCCATAAGAGGTCTTTGGCTATAAAGTTGCGTCTGGTAAAATCTGTATCAACAAACAATAATAAACCAAATTATTTTTATTCGCTGCAAACATTTTATTATGTCGAAACTGACAATACCAACAATGTATTGTTCGAAGAATGCGTCTCGGCTTTTTTTCCATTTGTACCAAACGCGGAAGCTTCCGCCATTTGGTCTCTACCATACAATTCGTGTAAGATCAAACGGATCATTGTTGTCGGACCAATCAACTCGTCGTTTATCCATCCGTTTCTATTCTTTTCCTGTTGAATTGCCATGGCTTTCAAAGTTATTCTACGTTCTGCAATCTTGGGTATGTATACGCCGGAATTTTCCTGGAGGGAAACCTTCAAGAAAAAGAGATTGCAAAATTAATTGTTTAGATTCAGAAGAAATCGGAGAATCTAGTATGAATCTCGTTTTGTCCTCCTTAATGGGAGAGCATATAATATTTATCGTCGACTTAACGTCTTTATGGACTATTTCAAAAATTGGAAAATTGCCTGCAGTCGACAATTTCATTTTCGTTTCCTCCACCGTCCCAGTTAGTGTCTGATTTTTATTGTGCATGCATAGTGATACTCCATTTCCATTAGCGCATGTTGTGTCGTTGCTGTCTAGCTTCATTTTTACATTTGTGCACGGATGAAAGCGTATCGTCCAATTAACTTTATCGTCAACAATGGCCTCAAGTGGCTCTGCGTCAGCGAGGGCGGTCAAATTGTAATAGTAGCCGTCCGGTAACGAGCAGATGCAGGGCACGAGCTCGTTGCATTCCGATGACGTTGTGTCGCAGAACAGAATTAGAAATAACGAAAGCACGATAAACGTCGCGTTACGACAGCACATCTTTCCCAGTTTTGTTTTCGTTGACGTTCGCATTCAGTTATGCATGATTGAAGCGTAAGATACATTTGTTTTTTTTGTCGTGAGGTAAAATAGGTTATTTCAAATTGCTGTACCTTGACAACCTCGGATAGAATAGGTAGCAAGTCTATGAACATCGAATTGTCAGGTGGAAGCAATGCGCCATCTCGGAGAATGTTCTATGGAAAAAAAGTAGGTTCAGATTTTTACTAACTCTAAATTTGCATGCAAGCGCGTCATCCGCGTAACGGCATCGCATCGCTCGCTGCGTCTAGCGAGACGCGCAGTGACGCATCGTCGAAAGCATACGTGACGGTGTACAATCGTGGACACAACGATTGCGACTCATACTTTTTTTTAGATATCAAAACGCACTAACGTTTTGCAAATGCGGACCACGATTGGTGTCATATTGTCTCTAGACTAAAGATAGCAACACCGTGGTTGGCATTTGCAACATACTAGTTATCTATAAAGTATACATATATTATGTATATTAAATATATATTAGAAACCTATAAAAAAAGTGTCGCAACCGATGTGTCCACAACTGTACATTAAAACTAAATAAAGTATTTTTCATTTCAAATAGATCGGAACAGATTAACAACGCGCACACATATATATCTTGCCTTTAACAAAAGTACTCTGGAGATATACCAGCAGGTCATGTATCATAGTGATACAATCTGGATTTCCTTTGGCAGATTAAAAGAGATTGAAATAGAATAGTCAAAATTAATCATTCGTTGAATGTGGTGCGAGCGAGAGAGAAATTGCGTGACTCTAGACGCGAAGGACGCATAGCATATGACGCGTATGTTTGAGATATACAATGTAGAGAAAGTGCGTGAATGCCAAGTAGAGAATTGATTTTTCTTATTTTTGTAACGTGGAAGAAAATACGTGGAAAATATATCGAACGCTCAGAGTTTTCGATTTGTCTTGTTTGAAGACAGATGTAGAGAGATGTAAAAAAAATCGAATTTGAAAAATGTCTCACGTATGATAAAAAAAATACGACTTTGAATTTACAAGCCGATGTCAAGCGGCTGTTTAAAAAGTGTGTGTAAATGTTTAATTTTGTTGTGCCGCTAGCACAACGGGGTCCGGCTCCGCGGGGGAACTGAATAACTCAGACGCCTTTGATCACTTTTTCACAAAATACACTTTATTTGCTTTTATCTCCGGCCTCAGTTTATTTCACAATCTCCCGCTTCTTCTTACTCGATACGCGCCGTTACGGCACTTAACTATTCGTGGCGGACCTGCAGGTAACGCGACACGAACTTATCTTTCGACAGATTAACTCC